CCCCAAAACCCCAAAACCCCAAAACCCCAAAACCCCAATATGAAGAAAAAGATTGAAATATTATGATGCTAATTCTTCATCCCTTAAGTTCTGGAGTTCGACGCTCTCCATTGTGCTATCGATCTCTGCTTTAGTGTACTTGAATATTATTACAATCATGAAAATGACACCAATAGCTGTGATGACAAAAATCCAAGGTCCTAGAGGATCTTCTCCACTTGTGATATCCGAGATACTTGAAAGGATATAAATAGTCGGGACATGGCCCAAAATGGCTGATAAATTTCCTAAGGTAAAATTTAGTGAACTCATAGTCGTAACCCCTCACATATAATTCAACAAATGGTATGGCATTGCATGACTGATCCTCAGTAATGCAACCATCTTTATCGAATTGTTACTCAACGCGAGGCTAAATGCTCTGAGTTTAGGTTTAGATTGAATCATGCCCTGCACACAATTTCGAAATAAGTACCTTGAGTTCCAAAATGAGATCAAGCTGCCTACAATAGTTCAGAAGTAATCCAGCAAGACAAAGATCAAGAACCCTAGCCAGTATCCATAAATCTGAGTGAAAGAATACGCCCCAAAGGTCATGATCAGCAGTAGTGGGACTCATAAGGGTGTCAATACTATATAAGCCGCCCCATAAATCAAAATGCAATAAAACTTGTGATTTCTCATATATGAAATATAAGCACTAGATGCTAACAGAATCGAGTCTTTATAAACAATCGCTATTACAGAAAATACTGTCACAATAGCAACGAACCCCAGAGCGATCAGGATTTTATTAAAGTTCTTCATTCACAAACCTAGAGGCGTGAGTCAAATACGTCACTTACTTTCACTCTGGTCCTCTGCTCTAACATCTTGGTCATTCCTAGTCTCAACTCCTGAACTTTCCGACTTGATCTATATACCAACAATCAGGATGAGATTTCAGGGTCTAAGAAAGGTCTAAAGAACAAGAACCAGGTCCAAATTTTGAGAGGTCTCTTAACAGCACCAACTCTCCCAACCCCCTTAAAATTCCAAAAGACAAGCACAAACAGAGGTTTTGCTAAGTAAAAATATTTACCATTTCAATAGGATCTGACCTTGAACCAGTAAAGGATCCTGCCAACCTTTGATAGCTTACCTCCTTCTCTTGAGAAGTCTCTACATTCATTTTCCTCAATAATTATATATCATATAGGGGTTTTGGGGTTTTGGGGTTTTGGGG